TGACCGGGACACCATCACAACATGACCGGGACACCATCAAAACATGACCGGGACACCATCAAAACAGGACTGGGTCACAATCAAAACATGACCCGGACGCCATCAAAACATGACCGGGACACCATCCGCCCACCAGCTCTGACGGTGACCCGACGGCGCCCGTCCGCCTATTAGTTTTGCAAGACCCCATAGCATGGCTATTGGGGAAAAAGTATTTCTAGAATTTATTGGTTCACATTTTTTGAATTTAAGAAATGTTACGGTTGCATTCAGGTGCTGAGGTCGAAACGCTTCAAGTGCCCTGCCATGACCAACACTGATTTCACCTGCCAAAACAGAAGAAAGCGAACCCGGTCTGACACCAAACATAAACAAGAAAGGCTTGAAAACAGGACAGGAAAACTGCGCGCATGCCAAAGTCCTCGGCAAAAAGGGTTGAAACTGCTCTCACATTTGGTAGGAAGTACAATCACACCTTGCCAAAAATAACCACCGCAAGCGCAGGAGCACATATTGGTCATCACAAACTCGATGTCTCTCTGTTTGTTTGATGCTACACGCTATTAGGTTTGAGGCCAAGAAAAAAGAACAGGAATAAAGGTTTGTCTCTTTCCGAGTCTCGTAGTGATCTTGCTTTGAAAGCTGTTCCGAGGACAAGCGGTAGAGGTTCACCATCTTGCGTGCCTCACGGCCGTGTCACGGCAGACGGTGGACAAGGGCCCTTAGGATCCAACCTAAGAGCGTCCTTGCTCCTAGCAAAAGAAAAGAATGATAGTAGTTGTTTCTTTTCTCTTCCAAAAACGATGGTGAAAACACGATGTTCTTTCAAAAGGGCGAAGGGAAAGAAATGCGAAGACCTTTAGATCGAAGACTGGAGCAATGTTCGCTACTAGGGGCTCCTGGCATCGCTACTAGGAGCAAGGGCCTTACTACTAGTAACAAGACGCTAGTAGAAACAATAAGAAGCTATAGAATTTAATTAGAATTAAGTGTAATTAGAAGTAAAGAAGGCTACTAGGACCTTTCGCTCTTTTTTTGTGTTCTTTGGATCTTTAGATCTTTTTCTTCCTTTTTCCTGAAAGGAAGAAGTTGCTTGATGTCTTGTCGACGTGTCAGCTTTCCCGGTCCCATCCATTTTCCCGGACGCACCAGCATTTTGGCTGCATTGAAGCCTTCCGAGTACAAAATGATCTCAGCCTGGCAGTAGTGGAAAGATGTTCAGCAATACAATCCGATCTCAACCGCATCTGATTCCAAGTGCCTGAGCTGCCTGGTAGTGTTATTAGTGTTGGGCCTGTTGGGCCCCAAGCACTTTGTAGGGCTTTTCCGAAAGCAGTCTGTATCGGATCTTCAAAGGCCAAGCAGCAATCAGACCATAGTCTGGCACCATCATTGCCTCGGACGAGATCGTCTCGAAGAAAAGCGCGAGAAATCCCGAAAAAATAGAAAGGCCTAATATAGTTTGACTAGAGGCCATCGCTAGTAGAGACCATCGCCAGTAGTAAGAGAGAACAAGAAATAGAGTTTAAAGCAAATATATAGCTACTAGTAGCGTCCTTGCTCCTAGTAATAAGGCCAGGAGCCCCTAGTAGTTCTTGTTCCTAATAGCAAAAAATAACTGCTCAACAAAAGTAACTGCTCTGCATCAACCTGAGGCGGTGGACCACAGGACGGAAGAGTGCTTTCAGGTTGTCCGGAAGCTCTGCACGACCCGCGTAACCGGGATTCATGGTGATGTACACCTCAACTACAACACGCATTTGTACTTTAAAGAAAACCGAAAAAAGAAAAGCTCTAAAGTCTAAAGGTTTAAAGGTCTAAAGAAACGACAAAACTGTGTTTTCAAAAAGATAATGCATACTACTACTCATTGCTCAAAGTCACTACTGAGTTGTGATCAAAACATCCAAGGCATGCGTTGAGGCATGCGTTGTTCTTTGCGTTGCTCTTTGGTGACTGAGGTCAAGACCCCAAATCTCCGGTTCAAAGGAATCTCATTGCCGAGAAACTCGAAAACCTCTTTGCGCTGTCGAATGGCCTGGCACATCAGGAAGCTCAACTGCTGTAGCTTTGGTTGTCTTCTTTGCGTTTTAGGTGAAGCTACTAGGAGCAAGGACGCTACGATCGGGGCTCCTGGCATCGCTACTAGGAGCAAGTGCCTTACTACGAACGTGTAACAATGTTTGCTATTAGCTTATTGTTTCTAATAGCAAACATTGTTACTACTAGTAAGGCACCTGTTACTACTAGCGTGGCACTTGTTACTAGTAACAAGAAGCTAGGTCCACTCCCAAGTTCTCGGGAGTTCTCCGGGTGTTCTTGCGGCCCCAAACCACTTGGTCTTGCGTTCTGCGTTCGTTCTGCCTGGGTGACGGTCAGCATTTGCTGTGCGATCACGCTGAGGACCTCCACTTGGATTCGATTGAACCTTGGAAGGGAACAAAGGGAACGAAGGGAACAAGAAAAGGCGAACCGAAGGGAACCATGGGGGGGGGGTAGGAAGCTACTAGTAACAAGTGCCTTACTAGTAGTAACAGGTGCCTTACTAGTAGTAACAAGAAGCTACTAGGAACAAGTGCCTCGCTACTAGTAACAAGTGCCTTACTAGTAGCAACAAAAAGCTATTAGAATTAACTTAAATCAAATTAGAAGCCTAGGAAACTAGTAGCTTTCTTGTTACTACTAGTAAGGCACTTGTTACTAGAAGCGATGCACTTGTTCCTAGTAGCGTCCTTGTTACTACTAGTAAGGCTCTTGTTGTTTGAAACCTAGGAAACTTTCATGAAGACTAAGGCTCTTTTCAATAGAGGAGAACCTCCCCCGCTCTTACTTAATTAAGTAGGCGCCTACTCAATTAAGTAGGGGACAAACTGGTTCGCTCCTAGCTACTGAGACGCCACAAGTAACTGGACGCAGGATTGTTAGGGAAATAAATTCTTGCCACTTTCATATTACAACCTGCAGAGCGTCCATTGTTCCTAGTAGCGAGGCCAGGGGCTACTAGTAGCGTCCTTGCTACTAGTAGCGATGCCCTTTGTTCCTAGTAGCTTCTTGTTACTAGTAGTAGTGGCCTCCAACCTACTAGAAAGAAAAACTCAGGTAGCTGGTGCTACTGATGAACTCTATTAATCGACCTTTCTTCACGTAGTAGCGTCCTTGCTCCCAGTAGTAAGAATGCTCCTAGTAGCGATGCCAGGAGCCACTAATCACTAATAGCGTCCTTGTTCCTAGGAGAAATGCCCTTTGCTCCTAGTAGCGATGCCGTTTGAAAACAGAACGGCAGGCCCTGAGAGTGCAGTTCTTTGCTATTTTTTATTTGTTCTTAGGCCTAGATTTTACTACAGAAACTGCATTCCCAGGGTGGCAGCAGGCAAGGCAAAGCAATATTTGGATCTAGAGTGGTACCAAAAACATTTAATCTCTGAGAATATTAATGTCCATATTCAAAAACATGTATAGAAGCAATTGTTTTAAAGCTTACCTTTTCATTTCTGAAAATAATCATTTCTATATTTAAAACTGCCTTCTACGTTGTAAGTGTTTTTTCCAAAAACGGTTCCCTAGATTTCTGGGATTGATCACGTCTATATTCAAGGCTAATATCCAAGGGTGCATTTCAAAAGCTGTCCCCCAGATCTTTGGACATGATGATTTGTTTGTGTATTTCACAAGAAAGGATCTCTGTGAATAAATATTTCTATGTTTTAAAAACTTTCTATAAACATATATAAAATAAAATTGTTTTGCGCAAACTTACCTCCAGATCTCTGGGATTGATCACTTCTATATTGATAAACTTTGTTTGACAACTTCTATTTTTATAGTTTTCCTCTGGACCTCTGGGAAAGTAGATTTTCTAGAGGTGTGTTCTCTGGAAATTTTATGCAAAAAATATATACATATATATTTTTATTTATTTATCCGCCACTTGAAAAACCAACCCTTTTATGGAACACATAAATACAGACCCCATGGGACAACACTATAACAAAAAGGCTTTCAAATATAGTTATATAATGTAAAAAATCCAGAAATTCCAGAGATGAAGAGGAAAACTCTTGAATTAGCAGTTTTAAAATATTTTGTTATAGAAGGGATCATTCCAGAGATCTAGAGGAAAACCTTTGGCATAGAAACTTTTATACAAAGCTTTCTTAATATAGACATGCGTATTCCAAATATTACTTGAACAAGTCTATCTGTCTACCTAAAAGGCAATGTTTTGACCTAGTTCCCAGCACTCCAGGGCAATAAAACACTGTAAAACACATGATTTTATATCACTGTGTCTTAAACTCACACCCCCAGCAACACCTGCTCTCTGGAATTAATTCAAGGATCAAATGTTCACAATCAAAACATCATATGTTTTCCAAGAAATATGAGATTTGACCCTATAGTGATTATGCCAAAGTTTTACTATACCTTAGTCTAAAGAAAGTTTTAGCTGTTGCAGTAAAGGTACCCTTCTCACACCAAATTGTCTTGCCAAACTCTCACCTTCTAGCTCTGCCATCACAAGAAGGCCAGACTCAAAGGCAACTGGACACTATATAGATGCTGATAAGCCACAAAACTATACATGTCAAATGACTCAATGGAATTCTAAAAATAGCAAAAAAGTGCACTCTCACAGCCTGCCACTCTCTTTGAAAACTAGTGGCGATGCCCTTTGTTCCTGGTAGCTTCTTGCTCCTAGTAGTAAGGACGGGAGCCCCTAGTAGCGGCCTTGCTCCTAGGAACCAAATCATGTGAAGGTGTTCCTCCCGCCTGAGTTTCCCCTAAAATCTAGGAACCCAATGAAGCGTGCGAGGGCTTCTTCAGAGAAACTCCCCCGCCGCCGTTTACGGGAGCCTAGTAGCTTCCCTTCCCTACTAGCTACCTCTTACTTAGCTACTTAGCTCCTAGCTACTCCCTTCCCCACCAACTAAAAGGGAGCAAAAGCAGCTGTCTTTCAGCAAGGCACTCATCGAAACACGCCCAAGCTCCAGCTTGCGCAAGTCCAGAGAAGAAACGCCCCATGATCTTGTAGTCCAAGCCATCTGAACCTCAACTCTCTGAGTTCCGAGGTCCGCCCCTCCTCCCTCCTCCCTCCTCCCTGAAAAATCAGGAGCCTGAGGTAGCAAGTAGATTAAGTATCTACTAGGAACATTCATCCAGGATAGCTCACGCTCGCACTATTCATTTGGTTCCTAGGATTTTAGGGAAACTTAACCCATGTTGCGATGGCCTCCACCCTAGTAGCGACTTTTTAGGGAAACTTCAGCCATGTCTTTCGCAGTGTTTTCTAAAAGGCGAAGAGACGGGGGGCGCATGGACAGGCTGAGTAGTAGCTTCCTTGTTACTACCAGTAAGGCACCTGTTACTAGTAGCGTGGCACTTGTTTCGACTAGCTTTCTTGTTACTACTAGTAAGGCACTTGCTACTAGAAGCGATGCACTTGTTCCGACATGCTCTGGACGAGGAATAGGGAAACCAAAACGATTGCCATGTCGCAACTTGGATTCCTTACTACCTTCCCCCCCAAACTCAACCCCCTCGCTTGGAACAAGAAAAAGCAGAAAACACATGGCCTCCAACCTAATAGAAAGGTCTGAAGGTCTCAATTCTAATATTCTAATAAGAAACACCTTCACAGTCCATGTCTTCCTGCAAAGCGCAGCAAAGCGACAATTGAAGACAACCACAGGGACTGCAAGTGCCTTGCCGAGGTCCTTTGTAGTCTCAGTCTTTCCTGCAAAGCCAAGTGATTCCGAGAAAAGTGAACTGTTCCTAGTAGCTTCTTTGTTACTACTAGTAAGGCACTTGTTACTAGTAGCGAGGCACTAGTAAGGCCAGAAAACTGAACTGTTCCATTTCGAACCGTTGAAGCTGTTCTTCCTTCCTTTCTGTTCGCCGTCTTCCATAACGACGCGTGCTCGCTTGCACACAGTTGGACGGGACATGTGACAAGAAGCTACTAGCCTTACTAGTAGTAACAAGAAGCTACTAGCAACAAGTGCATCGCTTCTAGTAACAAGGGCCTTACCAGTAGTAACAAGAAAGCTACTAGGAACAAGTGCATCGCTTCTAGTAA